ATCAGGGTGGAGGTGGCAAAAAAGGGACGAACTTCTGTTCTAGATGATTCTAGAAAGTTGATATATGATACTTCTATTTAACCCATCAGCTAAAATAGTCACCTGGTTATGCTAAAGGGTGTCTGGGAAATATAAACTGTATTCTAGGTGACCATATGCCAAGCTGAAAATGCTATTACAAGTGAAGTGGGATCTTTCCTTGCTATTAGTGTCCTAGAATTTTATTGTATTTACCTAGACTTTAAAATCTGTGTTAGTTTTCTATTGCTGTATAATCAATTATCATTAAGCCTTACTGGTTCATGCCTGTAATCCCATCTACTGTGGAGGTAGAGATTAGGAGGATTGTGGTTTGAGGCCAGCCCAGACAAAAAGTTAACAAGACCTCATCTCAACCAACAGCTGTGTGTGGTGGCTTGTGCTTGTTATCCCAGCTCCATGGGAAGCATAAATAGGGTCGTGGTCTAGACCGGCCTGGGCAAAAATGCAAGACCCTACCCCAAAAATAACTAAAGGGAAAGGCTTGGGGTATGGCTCAATTGGTAGGACGCTTGCCTAACAAGTGTGAGGTCCTGAGTTCAACCTTTAGTATGACCAAAAAGAAATTTTAGCAGCTTAAGTCAGCACTCATTTGTTATTTCTGGTGGTCAGCATTCTGTGCACCAACTAGCTGGATTCTCTGCTTAGGGTTACTCCAGACCAGAATCAACGTTTCCCTGGACTGGGTTCTCTTCTGAGACCTGGGAACCACTTGCAAGCACATTGTTGACAGAGCTTGCTGCAGTTGTAGGACTGAGGTCCCTTTTTGCCAGGAACTGTTTTCAGTTTCTATAGAGCACCTTTAAGTCTTAGCTCCATGGACTGTCCTATGTCCACTCTCTTTGCAGGGAAGGATCTCACCCCTTGGAGGACTTTGAGTCCACTTAGGAAAAATATCCCAGTTGAAATTCATCGTGTTTCTAGTCCTTAGGATTACACAGAATGAGCACCAGAGGCAGAACTGTTGGGAACAATTTTAGGATTCAGTTTCCTCAGTCTAGAAACCAAGTATCCCTTGGTTTGGAATAGTTTCTTTTGTTTAAGAATTACTCAGTTTTCTCTATGAAATTCTAAGTAGTTGGAACCATTCTAAGGCTGGCTTTTCCTGTCTTTCGCCTTCCAATGTTTATTTTTAGCTTTTTCCCCTATTTTTTTTTGAAGAAAAAAATAGACCTTTGAATTTATCTTTAATCTTTCTATTGAATATTTTCTTTCTACTTCTTTTTATTTATTTATTTTTTTAAGGCAGGGTCTTACTCTGTAGCCAAAGCTGGCCTCAAACTTGGGATCCTCCTGCCCCTACCCCTCCATTGTTGGGCGTACCACACCGAACAACTCCTATTATTCTTAATTTTTGAGAATTCTGTTGTTTTGTCTTCTCTTTGGTAGCATTCAATTTTTGGTTAGCGAAGAAACATTGCTTTGCGCTGTTAGAATTCTTTCAGGTATAAAAGAGCTGTATTTTTATGACCTTTTAGGTTTCTTTTTTCTTACCTTGATAGTTTTCTTCTGTGCTAGTCACATCTCAAATCTCAGGTTAGAATGGCACTTTTCAAAGCTCATAGAAGTTTTGTGAACTTGAGTAGAACTTGTTGACTGTTGAAGTTCATTTTGATGTGAATTTTGTGATGTGGTGTGCTTTTGTACCTTTTTTAGGATGTTTTCTTGTAAGTATGCGTAACACGTATTTATTAACCTATGTGCCTGTCTGCACCTCTAAAAAGAGGTGTTATAACAGTATGTACATCTTAGAATTTTTGTGAAGACTTGTGAAACTCCTAGAACAGTGTCTGGTACACAGTAAATGTTGATTAAATATTGGGTATTATATACTTCATTTGTTTAGAAATAATTGTTTTAAGTTTTGAATCTGGCCTTAAATTTGGTCATAGCTATTTTTCTCAGGAAATATATCAAGGAACATTTTTTTTCTTTTATTATTCATATGTGCATACAAGGCTTGGTTCATTTCTCCCCCCTGCCCCCACCCCCTCCCTTACCACCCACTCCGCCCCCTCCCTCTCCCCCCCCTTCAATACCTAGCAGAAACTATTTTGCCCTTATTTCTAATTTTGTTGTAGAGAGAGTATAAGCAATAATAGGAAGGAACAAGGGTTTTTGCTGGTTGAGGTAAGGATAGCTATACAGGGCATTGACTCACATTGATTTCCTGTGCGTGGGTGTTACCTTCTAGGTTAATTCTTCTTGAACTAACCTTTTCTCTAGTACCTGTTCTCCTTTTCCTATTGGCCTCAGTTGCTTTTAAGGTATCTGCTTTAGTTTCTCTGCGTTGAGGGCAACAAATGCTAGCTAATTTTTTAGGTGTCTTACCTATCCTTATATCTTCCTTGTGTGCTCTCGCTTTATCATGTGATCAAAGTCCAATCCCATTGTTGTGTTTGCCCTTGATCTAATGTCCACATATGAGGGAGAACATACGATTTTTGGTCTTTTGGGTCAGGCTAACCTCACTCAGAATGATGTTCTCCAATTCCATCCATTTACCAGCGAATGATAACATTTCGTTCTTCTTCATGGCTGCATAGAATTCCATTGTGTATAGATACCACATTTTCTTAATCCATTCGTCAGTGGTGGGGCATCTTGGCTGTTTCCATAACTTGGCTATTGTGAATAGTGCCGCAATAAACATGGGTGTGCAGGTGCCTCTGGAGTAACAGTCTTTTGGGTATATCCCCAAGAGTGGTATTACTGGATCAAATGGTAGATCGATGTCTAGCTTTTTAAGTAGCCTTCAAATTTTTTTCCAGAGTGGTTGTACTAGTCTACATTCCCACCAACAGTGTAAGAGGGTTCCTTTTTCCCCCGCATCCTTGCCAACACCTGTTGTTGGTGGTGTTGCTGATGATGGCTATTCTAACAGGGGTGAGGTGGAATCTTAGCGTGGTTTTAATTTGCATTTCTCAAGGAACATTTTTTAAGTAAACTTGCTATTTTTCAACAAAGTTTGAATTTCAGGAAATACTTTATTTGTCAAAGTTTGGGAACTGTATCACACATGGAGATATTGGGTAATTAGAACTTATCCTTTTAATTAATCAGTTTTTTAAAGTAACCAGTTCGGTAGCTATATTTTAAAATGTTTTTACATTTTCCTATAGTATATCAATATAATGAAACAAAAAAAGAAAAGGTATTCCAATACTTGTTTTAGAATTGTGTTAAAGATACAGCTCTATTAATAGCTTCCTTAAGCCTCTCCATATATTCTCTAAGGATTCATTAGGCGTAACTTAAAGAATTTAAATTCTTTAAATTCTATTTCTTCTTTGTAACTTCGATGAAACCTACATTAGTAAGTTGTAAGAAGTAAATATTTTTTTGTGCAATTTTTTTTGAAATGGGTAATTTTATAGGAAAAAATACAAAAATAAACATGGGAATGGTTATGACAGCATTACTCGTAACAGACAAGAAGTAGAAACAACCTAAATGTTCACTCGATGAATGAACAAGCAAGCTGTGGTACACCTCCACAATGGACAGTGGCACTACTGAACAATACAGAAGCCTGAACCTTGAGAGCAAGCTGAGTGAAAGAAGCCAAACACAAAAGGCCACACGTTCTATGATTCCTTTATAGAAATGTCCAGAATAGGCAAGTCCATAGAGACCCAAAGTAGATGAGTGGTTGTTAGGGACCTAGGAAAGGGAGTTGGAATGGGGAGTGACTGTTGATGGATGTGGGGTTTCTTTGGGGGTGTTGAAAATGTTCTAAAATTAGATGGTGATGATTATTGCACAGTCAGAATATACTGGGAGCCACAGAATTGTACACTTTAACAGGGTGAAATCTATGCTGTGTGAATTACAGCTTAATAAAGTGCTTAAAAAGCAAGGTGAGTATGAGGACTTTCCTCTTTCTTACCTGAGATGAATTGTGTGATAATGACAGTAATATAATAGTGCAATAGGGAATGACTGACTGCTGAGCAGAGAATGGAGTTGGGGCATGATTCATGGCTGTGTTAACTTTTCTCTAACCTCTGTTACGTCCTAACCTTACTGTGTGGCACCCACTTAAAAAAATGAAAAAATAGAATTATGCTCAAAGTTAGTATTTTACTCCTCTCATCTCTTATTTGACAAATTGGTCAAAATGCTGCTTGAACAGGAATATATTAAGCAAAACATCTTTATTTAGGAATAAGTATTAAAAAATAAATAGCCACTGTTCCAGGGTATAGCCACATCCCTTTCTTCACAAACAGGAACCACACCAAATACAGAAAGTTGGAAAGTAAATCCAGCAGAGGGTAGAAGGGGAGCCTGTTGCTACTTTACATAGAGTCAGCAGTGAGCTTGTCTTAGCTCTTTGTTCATATCATTAAAGTAATGTCTACATTATCTTCAGTTTCCTTTTTTTTTTGAGGTGTTGGGGATTAAACCCAGGGCCTTGCAACATGCAAGGCAAGTACTCTACCACTTGAGCCACGTCCCCAGCCCTCTCTGCTTCAGTTAATTTTTCTCAAAATGTCTTGTACTTTATGGCCCAGGCTAGCCTTGGACTGTGGTTCACCTACCTATGCCTCCATGGGATTACAGGTGTGAACCACCATTTTTTGCTTGTTCCTTCAGATAGGGTCTTGCCAACTTTTTTTGCTGGGCTGGCCTCAAACCATGATCCTCCTGATCTCTGTCTCCCAAGTAGTGGGGATTATAGGCGTGAGCTGCCACATCTGGCTCTGTCAGATAATTTACTTTTGAAAGTCAACTGTAGAAGTAGGCTGGTGTTGATTGTGGATTGGCAATTGTTTTAGCAATCGTTAGTTATTAATAGAATTTCCTGAATCACGACTGTAGACATATTTGATGTGAGATAAAGATCCTTACGTAGTAATTTTTTTCTGTTGTAGAAACTATAGTAATTTGCAATTTGGAAAAGAACTGTAATGCAATAAATTCTTAATGATAACTAAAAATATTTTCTGCTTATTTAGGAATTAGTAATGCTTCTCTTAGAATACAATGCTGATACTACTGTGGTAAATGGGAGTGGACAGACAGCAAAAGAAGCCGCTCATGACAAAGAAATCAGAAACATGCTCGAAGGTAAAAAATTATGGATCTTAATATGTTAATTAGCACCAAGGACCAGAAAATGAATAATAATAGCTTTTGAGATACCAAAGTAGATGACAGTAAGCCTCTGCTCTGCTGATAATATTATTGTGGGGGTCAGTGTTAAACCCAAAGTTATATATGAGTTGTTCCCTCACACTTAAAATTCCTGTTTTCCACATACTTAAATGAAAAGTGGAAAGTTAAGGAAATGAGGAAATGCAGCTAATAAGCTGATAAAGCATGTTAAGGAAGGAATATGGAAGAGCAGGTCTTTGTCAGACATCTTGAGATCAGTGTCTTAATTAGCTCCTCACTTAAAAGGAGAGTTTGTTTAAAATGAACTCTCTTTGTCAGAGAGCAAACAAATCAACACATAACATCTTCTGTCAGATGCTGCATCATACGATTTTTGGGACACATAGAACATACTATAGGTGGTCCCTGCCCTTTAATATGTTGTGATCTAATTGAGACGATGAGGTAACTGTCTTTGATCATGTCCTGTCATTTTAATACATCAAGATGAGAACCCAGAACTGAGGTTTTCCTGATAGACCAGAATGTTATGTTGACAAGTTAACATTTAATAAGGGGAATTGTAAAGATATGTTCTGAGGCTTTTCCAAAACCCAACCTGTGCAAGGACTAGGGCTTGTAACTTAACGGGATATATGATTTGTCAGCTCATGTAGTCATAGCCTGAGAAATGGAAGTAGAGACTTTATTGAGTGATTCTGTTCCATTGAGATCACCATAGCCAGATATAATACCATTTGTAGATAGAGCATTAAACTGTCATTGGTAGACTACAGGAACTTCATTGAGCCACCCAGCAAGGCTACAGATAGACCAGAAATCAGATAAAAGGATAATGCGCAAAGAGATGGGAAATGTTTTACCCTAGAAAGACAGACGTAGGTAGGCACAATGACATCATTCTCAAATATTTGAAGAGATGTTATTTAGGAGGAGATTATCTTATTTGTGGAGAATTATAGCCAGTTGATGGCCCAATTGGTGGAGTACCATGGAGTTTATCTTTAAGTCCAGTGTACTGTCATAATGGTGTGAGTGGTCCCTCAGGGGTGCAGTAAATTTCCTGTGATAGTGGTAGTCTGGGAGAGGGTAGATGGCTACTTGTCAGGCATGAGAAAGGAAAATACCTCATCTACATCTCATTTGTCTTTTTATTTTTGAGAAATTTCCAATCTATAGGAAAGTTCAAGAACAATAACAATGATCACTTGTATGTCCTTCACTTAGATTCACCAAGTAACATTTTGCCACGTCTGGTTTACCCTTTTAAATACTATCTGATGTTATTTTAATTTAATTATATTATTATTTATTTTTTTTTTTGAAATTTACAAATTAATTTTTTTCAAATTACATTTGAAAGTAATTTGCAGATTACTGCTAACAGTGATCCTTTCCCTCTAAATTCTTAAATATGTATCTCTTAAGAACAAGGATATTTTCTTACATAATCACAATATTTCCCTTCAGTGTCTGTGGGCATTGGGTCCAGAATACCTGTGCATACCAAAATCTGCAGATTTTTGTGTCTGACATAAAATAGTATAGTATTTGTATATGACCTGGGCAATCCTCCCATATCCTTTAACTCATCTCTAGATCACTTATAGTACCTAATGTAACATAAATGCTATGTAAATAGTTGTTATACTGTGTTATTTAGGGAATAACGATGAGAAAAAAGTCTGTCAATGTTTATAGTTTTTTTTTTTTTTAATATTTTCAATCTGTGGTTGGTTAAATTCACAGATGTGGGTCCCTAGATAATAAGGCTGACTCTGTAATAATCAGTACAGGAAATATAATACTGTTATCCAGATTGAACATTTGTAGTCTGAATTTGGAATTGCTCTAAGATTCAAAAGTTTTTGAGTACCATGATGCTTAAAAGTTAGAGATTTGGAGTATTTCCAATTTTGGATTTTTGGTTTAGAGATATTTATCAATAAGTCTATGCAAATTTCTAAAATCTAAAAGATGTCTGAAAATTAAACACTTCTGCATTTTGATATGGTCATATTCAACCTATTAAAATATAATACACATCTTACGTACAAATTTTACCACTTTGTCCACATAATGTCCTTTGTAGCATATTCTACCCAATCTAGAATCTAATCCAGAATCCCATGTTGTATTTATTTGTCACATTTCTTTAGTCTCCTTTTGTCTGAAACAACTTCTCAGCCTTTCTTTTTCATAGTACTGATCTTTTGAAGAGAAAGGCAATTGTTGGAATTGTTTGTAGCATCTCCCTCAGTTCGGATTTTTCTTTTAATGTAATTAGGTTTAGGATATGCATTTTGGGAAGGAATATTATGTAGGTGAGGCTGTGTCCTATACTCATATATCACATTAGGAAGCACATAATGTCACCTTGTTTCATTATTGGTGATGTTAACACTGGTTACTGGGTGGTTTACTAGAAAGGTATCTTTTCCGTTTGTAACTAATACACTGTGTGGGGATGGGGTGTTGAGACCAATATAAATATCTTGTTTACCAGTAAATAAGTCCATGGTTGTAGCACTCATTCATAATATTTCCCTAAGTCATTTATGTCTATGGTGGATTGCAAAGCAGTGATTTTCTGTCACTAGTGAAGTACATTTTCCACATACTCTGTTATGTGTCAAGTGTACTATTATTTAACCTGCTCTGTGAAAGCACATAAACATCTATCAGGATGAAGGTAGACTTCATAATCTCTGAGATCCCAGCTAAAGCTGAAGTTTGATCAAAACCAAAGGGTTAGCCAGATTACCCCAAACTATACTATTTGTTTTCATAGACTGGATAAACTGTCTTCTTTAAGTGTCCTGAATGAACACACACAAGAAATGCCCAGGGTTTTCAACTCTGAATCCCCATCTGTTTTCTTCATTCATGAGCCTAGAATCTCTAGGAATAAACATTAGGCTATCCTTTATTTCCCTCTCCTGAAGTCTGGAACAATTATTGTTAAGCATTATTTGATTATTATTGACTGAATATGCATTATGCTGGACACTGTCATAAATGCCTGTGATAGTTAAGAAGTAGAATAAATTCTTGACCTCAAGAATGGAAAGGGAGTAAATTACAGCTCAGCATAATACATGCAGTAATTGAGATATGTATAAGAGCGTTCAAAGAGCTCACAGTTCAGTGGCTATAGAGTCAATGAGAGGAAGGAATGAAGATCATGATTCCCATCCACTGAGAACCTCTGGAGAGGGAGAGAGACAGAGTCAGGGAGTGGAAATAAAAATGTGAGAACAGAAGATGATATGTAGAAAGATTAGTCAGTTCTTTTCTCTCTCTCTCTCTCTCTCTCTCCCCCGCTCCCCTCTTCTTCTCTATTTCCCCCACCCCTCCCCAATGAGGATTGAACTCAGGGCCTTGTGTTTGCTAGGTAGGCACTTGACCACTGAGCCATGCCTCCAGCCTAAGATTAGTCATTTCTTAAGATAAAGCTAAACTAGTACCAGCTATTTCTATATTCAATGTATGAGTTTCCTGTAGTTTAAATGTGGTGGTTTGCATAATGTTTCAAATTAAGGATTGGCACACAACAATTGCTAACTCGTGATAAATGTTCATCTGTTTCCCCAGTCACCTGGCTCCCTGTCCTGCTTCTCTGTCCATGGCTTTAGCCAGAAAGACTGCCAGGAGAGTGATCCTCCCTTGTAGCCTTTGCATAAGATACTGTCCATCTGTTAGTTAAGTTAGATTCCTAAGACCTTGCATGAAATTGCTTCTTCCTAGTAAGTCAAAAGAAAATTCGAGTCTAGTAGAGATGAGACCTATTCCACTCTTAAATCTGACTTACCCTTTTCCTAAAATGAGATTTCAGAAGTGTTAGAGGTAAGAATTCTAACTTTCTATGGACTTTTAAACAGTCTGCACAGTGAAATCCCAGCTTCTGCACTGTGTAGCCTTGATTAATTAAGTTCCTTAACCTCTCACCTCAGTTTCTCTGTTCATGAAATGAGGATAATTCTTAGAGCAGTTATGAAGATATAGTGAGTTAATATTATCAAATGTTCTGAATAGCACTTGGTACATAGTAACTACTATAGTATTTGTTAAATAAAAATAAATTTTATGTACTTATGTGGAAGTATATAAGTAAATTGATAACTATCTGCATTTATTTATATGGTTTTTACATCTTCCTACCAATTGACATTGCAATTGCTGTTTCTTTTCTCTTCCCATTATGAGGTTCTGGAAGGCATGAACCCGATTTATCTTCATTTCCAAGTCCTGTCTTGAATAGTATATCAATATACACAGGTCATTCACAATTATTTGTGGTTAATATTATGGTGAGTAAAATACCTAATGCTCTCTGATTCAAAAACATAATTTCATCACAACCTAAAGGAAACCAAGCTCTTCTGAAGTGGAAGGCAATGAGGCTCACAAAGTCTAACTGCATTTGACTTACAGTTCAAAACAGTTTAATTCTTCTCACTGTGATCACCTTATTCTTTATAGTCTTTGTAATGAATTTGCTAATAGGATCCTGACCAGCAGTGGAGTAATACATATTTTCCTCTTGCAGCTGTAGAAAGGACTCAGCAAAGAAAGCTTGAAGAATTACTTTTAGCAGCAGCAAGAGAAGGCAAAACAGCAGAACTCACAGCTCTGGTAAAAACAATAAGCACTATTTTTTTATACTTAAGGAAAATTTTTATTTAAATGCTAAGTTCATAATTTAGTGAATTTGTGGGACCAAAAGTCTTTAAATGTCTGATAGCACTTAGTATGGTAACAGTTTAATCAGGACACATTTTAAATAGTGATTTTTTTTTCTGTATTTTTGATTTACATTCCCACCCATTATGGAAAACCTGATGGATAAGAATTCAATTTTCCATAGCATATAGCTAATGTAAGGACAACTTTTAAGGATTTTTTTTTTTTTTCCAGATTAAGCCAATTTGAAGCCAAAGCATAATACGTAGGACCCTGTACAGGAATAAGTTTTTTTTTTTTTTATTTTGATGAAACTACTGATTTCTGAGTGTTGTCCTTCTAGAAAGTAACATACCAACATACCAAGAAGGGACAGTATTTGGAGTGTTTATATAAGTTAGAGCAGATTGAAAGCTTTGTCCACTTTTTTTTTTTTCTTCCTAGGAGACCTACTTTCCAGTTTCCATAGTCTCATTAAACATAAAACTCTAAATTTGTTCTGAATTCAAGACTGAAGCATTGCCATTTGCTGTAAAGTTATTTCAGCTCATTTGAAAAGGCTTCTTTGGTTTCTAAGTATAGTTTCTGCAACATCTTTTAAATTTTGTGAAGTGGAGACTATATAAAGAAGTTCCTAAAGCAGTAAGGTGGGAACAACAAACTCAGTAGAACTTTGACATTTACACATTTAACATCTCTGGTTTTAGCTCTTCCCAGGAACTGCTTATGGGAGCCTGATTTGTAATTTTGCTGTCACGAGTATGAAATACAAGAGTCGTAGGAGCAAGCAAATCTTAGTGAAATCTTCATATATTCAGGGGTGGTGCTGGCATGGTGTGTGGTGTCTGTCATCAGGATAACATGGCATCTGGATACAGGAGGATCAGCATGGGAATGGCAGGGTTGGCTGGTTTGATGAGCAAGAAGCCATGGATAGTCTGTAAGCCAACAAGCCTGGCCATTCTCCAGGCTCTGCTTGAAACACCTTCCTGCATATTGTGGGAGAAAGTCTATCTTTGGTATATAATTCTGCATTACGTTTCCTTAATTGTTAGCTCAGCAGACCCAGTCCTCCTGATGTCAACTGTTCTGACCAGCTAGGAAATACACCCTTGCATTGTGCAGCTTACCGGGCCCATAAGCAGTGTGCCTTAAAGCTTCTAAAAAGTGGAGCTGACCCCAATCTGAAGAACAAAAATGGTAAGCATGTTGATGAAAGGCATTTTTGGTCATTTTTACACTATAAAATGAATCAGTGCAATATAAAATTATTTTGTTTTTATATCCAGTCTTTGTTAAACTGTATGGTCTTCAATTTTGAAGTCAAAGCAAACACACAGGAGGAAAGTAAACTTATTAATTTTGTTGTCAGTTAAGGCAAAACTATTTAGAAATGCCTGTCTTTTCCCAAGGAGGCATCAGGGATGACTAAGATCCTGCCCTCAATGGAATGACAAGTGCAGTTGATTTTCATTATTTGCCAGTGACTATTCTGCATTAGAAAATTCTGAGCCATTGTTCCTAGGAGAAATTCAGGGTTAGGTTCTTGTGAGTCTGTGGTCACAGCATTTTCACTCACTGATCAATGCATAGCCTTGTTTTATGGGTGTTACTATTTAAATCACCTTATTTAATATGTATTGTCACTAATGTTCAGTCATGGCCAACAGAATTGTAACTCATGCCAGAATAAAACTTCTCTAACTTCTGTTTTCACTATAAGCCCATGACAGTCTTACACTCAGGAACAGTAGGCAGCACTTTTGCATTATGCTTTGGGGCCATGTTAAACAGCAAAATCACCAACAAAAGGAACAAAAATGTGACACTAAATACTGCAACAGGGACACTTGTTCCTATGAGAGCTGAAACAAGAAAGCTAAATGTCACCTTGTTCTGCTTCAGTTTTTAGAACATGCTGGGAAATGCATGTTGGGCAACTGAAACTTTTCATCACTCTGGGAATGTCCATGAATGACTAAGAATTGCCACAAGTGTTGATCTTGGAGTTACAGATAAATTTAGCAATAGACAAATCTATAATGCAGAATCTGCAAAAAATAAGAATCAACTGTACATGTATGACAGTATCAAAGAATTGACATACCAGACTTGAATAACCAGAAGAGAAGCCTCAGAGGGTATCTTGGATATTCAGAGTGAGGGCATTCCCTTAGGTCCTTTTCCCATCCCTATTTTGGGATGTTTCTCACTGCATATGACCAGCCTAGATTAGGGTTTTCCAGCGCTACTACAGGACCTTATGATCACTGCTGTCAGAGCCTAAATCACACTCCACGTTGTTTACCTAACACCTACTGTAATACATAGCACATAACATCTTGTAAAAGTTGTGTTTGTTGAGGGTTTAAAGTACAGAGAAATTGTTTCATGAAGGAATAGACATCTGATATAGACCCTGAAATACAAATAGGATTTTTAAGCAAATTCTGTATCTAAATGCTTAAATTTGTATCATTATCTAACAAAAGGCTCTCTATCTTTGTTTTTCTTTCTTTTTCTTTAATGAAAACACAATTATCATTGTCTAGTACAATTTGATAAAGAGGAATTTGGGAAATGTTACTTGAGGCAGAGAGATGATTATGAAAAAAGACATTAAAGTGAAAAATTTGCCAGTAAGGTAGCATTCCCAGGTTGGCACAATCAAGGTTATATAAGGGAGCAGTTTTAGATAAATCCATAAATAAAGAAAGCCCTCAATGCGAGGCTACCTTACCTCTTAATTTGGAAGGACAGTGGAACCCTGACAGAAATAAGTGGAGGAATGAGGTGCTTCAGAAAGATTAATATGGTTATGGTATCTAACATTGGTTGTGACAGGCCTGAGACTGTAGGGAGGGACCAGTATGACCATTGAAATGACTTTAGGTGAAAGTAATCAAAACCAGTGCTACACCACTACAGCCATGCTCCCAGCACTTTTTTGCTTTAGTTACTTTTCAAGCAGGGTCTCATGTTTTTGCCTGGGGCCAGCCTCAGACTGTGATCTTCCTACCCATAGCCTCCTGCACAGCTAGGAATCTCAGGATCTCACCACCAATAGATTTTTATCTGGGCTGGCCTCAAACTGTGCTCCTCCTGAGTAGCTGGGATTATAGGCATGAGCCATTGAGTCCAGCTCCCTGTCCTGGACTTTATTGACATCAATAGGAGTAGAAAGAGGAAAGAAAACATGTGTTATAGAGTCTTCCTGCTTCTCCCTTCTCTGGCTGGCCCTTATGCTTTGGATTGTCACTATCCCATAGAAACACATAAAATTGCAAATTTTCTAGAGGCCACATTAAAGGTCAAAATTAATTTTAATAATAAATTTTATTTAAGGCACTATAACAAAATAACCATTTCAACACACGAAAAATACTAATGAGATTTTAAATTCCTCTTTTAGTTAATGGTTTGATATATACTATATATTTTTCACTAATAGTACACCTCAATTTGGCCTAGCCACATTTCAGGTATTGAATTGCTACATGTTATTAGTGTCTACTGTGTTGGGCAGTACAACTGTAGATGTACCAGACCGTGCAGGGCTCTTTGGGTAACCACACTGTCCTCACCTTGTTTATGCTCTTTTATTCTGCCAGAAATAACATCTTTCCTGCTTGTCTATCTGGTAACCCTCGCCTCACTTCGAGAACTGTTCAAACTCTGCTTTTCCAGAGAGGCTTTCCCCGTGTCCCTGAGTGTTAGGGATTGAATCCAAGGTCCCACACATGCTAATCACATGTGCTACCACTGATCTACATCAGCCCCACAAAATAGCTTCCTAAAAAGTTTAGAGCAATAGATACCAACTAAAGAGTGAAGCAAATGAAAGGTTACATGTTACTAATGTAAGAATCCAGGACTGGGGATGTAGCTCCATGGCAGAGTGCTTGCCTGGGTTCCATTCCTAGCCCCACAAGCAACCAACCAACTGAACAGAAACAACCCCCAAGGTACCTCATGATATTCCAAAGCAGGAAATGGTGTTAGGAAACAAATAGGTTGCAATTAGGAACCAGAAAGCCTTAGGAACAAAGATGGCTGCCACTGATTGTGAATCTTTCTGTCACTGAATGTCAGAGAAGACTGTGTCTCTTAACAGACCAGATTTTTAATTTTCCAATACATAATGGAATATGGCTGTCCTATGGGACTGCTCCATTCAGAGGCCACAGTTGCTTAACATCAGTTTTAAATTTCAGTGGCAGGTAATCTGTGGTTATCCACTTGTGGGTTTTTTTTTCATTTAATTTTTGTTGCTTTCTTTTGTGGTAATGGGGTTTGAACTCAAAAGCCTCATGCTTGCCAGGAAAGTGCTTTGCCTCTTGAGTCACACCCCCTGCCCTTGTTTGCTTTAGTTATTTTTCTGCTAAGTTCTCACATTTTTGCTCAGGGGTGGCCTCAAATCACTGTCCTCCTATGCTACCTGCATAGATGAGATTACATGTGTGCATCAACCATGCCCAGCTTATTGATTAAGATGGAGTCTCAGTAACTTTTGGCCCAGGCTGGCTGCAATTTGTGATCCTCCCAATCTCCACCTCCCTAGTGGCTAGGATTACAGATGTGAGCCACTGTGCTCAGCTCCCACGTGTTTGGTGATTGCCCATGGTACAGTCACTGTATTTTGTGGGGACCAGGCCATATGGCACAAATGTAGATGCTAGGGTTTCCCCTGGGGAATGTGGACATAGCAGTGGAAGTGTCTACTTCTTTTGGTTTACAAGTTGTAAATAGAGTTGACATAGTAAAGTCTTACTTTTTTATCAAGCATCAATAGTTTTTCCATCTTGTTCCCTAAAATGTAGTCTTTAGGGCTTACCTTCTGAGTGAGTGGTACTTTATGAAGATGTAATTCTTATTTATTTATTTATTCATTGTTTTGGCAGTACTGGGGTTTGAACTCAGGGCCTCGTGCTTGCTAGGCAGACACTCTACCACTTTGCACCATTCCACCAGCCCAGTAGATAAAGAAGTTTAGTGATAAGACAATGATTATTTCTCTATTTTTACATTAAATTTTCCTAGTCTTTTTTTAAATAAACAACACTGTTTAAGTTTTTAATAAATTTTGTTGATTCTCCTCTGGTTTCTTCTCAGACTTCCAAGTTTAGGTAGAGATTTCATAAATACTTAATTCCGTTTTCTCTGGGTAGCTTACGTATCATCACATTCTTTCATTCAGCAAATGCAGATCCTCTGCTCTATTTTAAGAACTGTCCTAAGAGCTGGAACTCATCAGCTAACAACCAACAAGCCCCATGTTATACACACACACACATTTTTCCCTATGTTGCCTAAGTTGTACTCAAACTCCTTAGCTCAAGTGATCCTTCTGCCTCAGCCTCCTGAGTAGTTGAGACTACAGGTGTTTGCCCCAGCACCTAGTTCTTCTAGAGTTCTTATATTTTGATAGGAGTCAGACAAAAAAATTAAATGCATATGTGCTATATGTGTTCTTAGGCAATGAAGTGCAAACAAGTAAAACAATATGAAGGGGGCAGAGAGGGATAGCAGTGGGAGGGGGGCTGTTGTAGAAAGGATGTAAGGGAAGGGCTTGCTAAAGTGGCTTTGCACAAAGAGCTGAACTGAGCCAGGAACTGAGTCCTGGGCATCTGGCAGAATATTCATGGAAAGCTAGTGTAAAAACTCAGAGTTCAGAACACTTGGCATATTTGAGGACAAAGAAAGCTGTCAGGTTGCCTAGAGCAGGGCGAGTAAGGAAAGGTAGGTGATGTCAGAGGGGAATGAGTTGTTGGGTCCTTTGTCACTGTGACTATAGGGTTTTACTAAACCTTTACTGAAGCTTTTTCTGCTCTTTTGTCAGGGTTTTCTCATACATTTCAAGAACTTACTTTCTTTTTGTGTTCCATTACCTTCAATTGTCTTTTCCTTTGTACTTTTAATGATTTTTTAAATACCTGATGAGGTTCTCCCTCCCACTATTCTTCTTAAGAATTTTCGTTGACGTTCTTATAGGTAGTAGTATCTGCAGTAATTTTCTTAGGTTAAACTGTTGGCTTTTAATTGAAATTGCATTCTGTGTTTATTAATTTGATGAGAAATGACATCCTTAAGAGTTTTTCCACTAAGAAGTAAATATGTGTCTTGCACAGTTTAACATATTCTGTTATTCCCATTTTTTTCTTTGTTTTATTGTGGTTGATAAACATTGTAGTATATTTTTTAAATTACTGGTTATGGAGTTCATGTAGGTTGGAAGGCTGTTTCATTTAGTTCAAAATATATTTTGTGGAATTCTTAGCGTACCAGGCAGTTTAGGCATTGAATCCAGAAATGAGGCTTTTTCCTGGGATTTCATCTAGTTTGTAGAAGCTCAGAATTTATTTCTGATATTAGGGCAGAATTATATGAAAAGAAACCATATTATCTGCTTAAAGGAATAGTTTATCAAAAGTGCCCTGCAGATACAGCAAAAAGCACACAGAATTGGCAGATCTTTATATTATCTTATGTGTTAGGTAGAAAAACTAAACTGATTAATTTCTCAGTTAACATCTTAAAAAGATTTTTCTCTCACTAAAGAAATTGTGTATCACCAACCCCAGCTTTACATATCAGCAGTTGTATACATATATCTCCAAAATAAATCTCAAGCCCATGTACTTCCTCCATTTAAAAAATTGTCTTTCTTACTACTGACTCCTTAGACTAAGCCGCCAGTGTTTCTTACCTGCACTAGTGCTGCGCTCTGTAATTTGGCTGTGTTTTCTCTTGGCCACATTTACAAGCCATTTCCACCCAGCAGCCACAATGGCTTTTTAAAAAGATTGTTATAGTGAAAATTATCAAAACTTTGAAAAGTAGAGTAGAAAATTAAATGATGGTGTGCTTCACTCTCCTTCAGGAGTTACCAGAAAGTGCCAAGCTCCTTTTATCTCCTTCCTCTCCTGGGTTATTTTGAAGCAGTTCCAGATAGTATGCCATGTCATCTGGCCCCTTAACGAAAAACAACCCTGGGATAGCTGGTCAACCCTGTAAATGTATGAAAAAGTACTTAATTGTACACTTCAGTGAATTGTATGGTGTGTGAATTTGTATTTCAATTGAGCTATTAAAAAATAAGTGCACAGTATTTCCTGTTAATAGTATAGTAATTTCTCAAAATCATAAAATAGCTAAAGTGCACATTTCCCTGCTTACACGTTTTTTAGCACTTTGACAGACTTTTAAACTGTCAGATCTTACTTTGTAACTGAAAACCCTTCAATCACTTTCCATCATATTTAGAATAAAATCCAAACTCCTACCAGCTCACAAACATCCGGCCTTATAAAGCTCTCATACAGTGTGTCCTCCCTGACTGCCTCCCTGACTATTCCTGTCTTAGGCCTTTGGATTAGCTGTTCCCTCTGCTGAATGCCCTTACCCTATAGTCCCACAAGTCTAGATCCTTTATCCCCCATCTAAACATCTCTCCCTCAGATAGATCTTCCCAGATCAGTCCCTCACTTCTAGTCTAAACTGGTGTTCTGGTCATTCTCGGTGAAATCTTTCATTTAAAAAATCTTGGCATACCATGGTTTGCTATCTGCTATGTCTTTTTTATTATTAATTTATAATCTCTTTCCCTCTATCCTACAGTTTCTTTTCTTCTGTCCTGTTTGCTGCTGAATCCCCAGTGCCTAATATGGTGATTGGCACATAATAGATTCTCATATAAGAAAGGTGGACCAAAAAACTGCCAATATATATCAGGCATTTGAAATTTATAAAAGGGTTAAATATTAACTGTAAGATTAAACAATTTATACAAGGCTTAAATAACTAAATTGGCTATAAGTTTATATTCTAAACTGCTAAGTTTGTGAAATTTGTTACAGTCATGGAAAACTAATATAGTGACTTAAGGCTAGAAAGGTTGACTGATCACAAATCTGTACAATGCCCCGAAGTCATCTGATTTGCTGGCTTAATAACTACCAAAAAGAGCAAAAGGATTGAGGTGGCAACTTCTGCTAGGCGATTTTCTTTGAGGAAAAAATAGTAGTTGGCAGTATAATGAAGGAATATTAGTTAGTACAATTGCAGCATCAATTGTGTAGTATAATTGAGCTCTTACAGTTTTTTTCCTTGTGTTTTACACAGATCAGAAGCCTCTTGACCTTGCCCAAAGTACTGAAATGAAGCATGTTCTTGCTGGTAATAAGGTATGTGGTAATGGATTAGTCATATATAGTAACTTTGAGAAAAATATTTGAATGCTTGAAATATATATGTGCATTTTAAATATGTTTTTAATAGGTCATCTACAAAGCTTTGAAACGATATGAAGGCCCTCTCTGGAAGGTAGGTTGGGATTGTTTTAAATTATTAAGCTGAAAAGAATTCTCAGGCACACCATTTCTGTTGAACTTTTTCTATCATTTCTGAAGTACAGCTGGCCTCTGCCTTATGATGGTTCACTTGATGGTTTTGACTTTTAGTGCTGTAAAACCATAGTTGAAATCTGAGTTGCAGTCTGTTATGGGCTGGCAAATGGCATGGTGATATTTCCTTGTGATGCTGCGCAGAGGTGTTCAGCTGCAGCTCTCAGTCATTTGTACGATCACCAGAGGAACAACCAAGACTAAATGGTATACTGTGTTGCCAGTGTGTTATACTGTGTTGGATAATGTGCGGTTTTGACATTTTTTGTTGTGGTGCTGGGACTGAACCCAGGGCCTTGCCAGAGTAGGCAAGCACTGTACCACTGAACTACCTCCCAAACTGTTTTGTGTTTTTACATCCCATTGTGATTACAAAACACCCATCCATGGGTATACATTTAGACGATTTTGCCCAACTGAAGGCTAATGTAACTATTCTGAGCACATTTAAGGTAGACAAGAAAAGCTATGATGTTGGGTAGGTTAGGTATATTAAATGCTTTTCTTTTCTTTTCTTCCCCCCCCCTGTTTTTTTTAATGTGTGGTGTTGGGAATGGAAACCAAAGTGTCTTCTGGTTTTAAAAATTTCTGTGTGTTTTAGGATTCAGTTATTTTCTGGAAACAACCATATTAGAGCACCACATAGTATCTTTTGCATTTACAAGCAATCCCTGTATGTTTTTGAGTACATATATATTTATATTGTATGAAATAAATTTAGGATAATTTTCTTTTTTTAGAGATTCATTCATGACTTAGAGGAAATTGTCTTTGAAGCCCACAACTGCTATATTTTCTATAAATATTCATGAACAGTATTGTCAGAACCATAAACTGTATTCACCATTGATCTTATCAGTGTGGGATTTCTTCTGTTTCTGTCACCCTGTAGTGAGTGGTATGTGTTCATTACTGCACTTAGTATCTAAGCTTATTTGATTATTTTTAAATGTCCAGTTCTGCTCTGTAGATGAAAGACTCAGATGCAACTGTCAGAACTTAATTATTTGTCAGTCATGTTTTTGAATCTAGATTTGTCAGCTCGGAAAATCTTTGTCATTTTTCTTTAGAGCTCAAGATTTTTTGGCTGGAGATTATTCTGGGTAGTGTTAGAACATGGAGTCCTTTCTTGGTATAGGAAACAGTATGTATCATACTATACTTAAATTTCAGTATCTAAATTTTGAAAGATTAAACATTTTTCACTTACCTCTTCCTTTTGTCTTGGTGATTTAATATTTGTTTTGAAGGCTTGATGCAGTCCGTAATATTTATCGCCAGGGATGCAAACACCTGACTCAAGCAGTGTGCACGGTAAGATAAGAGTGTACCTTTGTGCAAACTGTGAAATCAGTTCTGCAAGTGACTGCCCTAAATCATTTGTAGAATCTTAAGATTCTATGGAGTGGTGTAGAAAGCACTTGTATATTTTACATTTGAAAGCAAATGAAGTTGTACAATCTCCATTAAAAATATATATAATAAACTTTTATCTTCACATTTGTGGTATGAGAAATGGATGATCCAAAAACATCTTGCACAGCCTTTAGCATTTGGAGAGTGTGTGTGTGTCTTTATACATGGGTATATAGGGATGATGGAAGTTTGGGGATAAAATAAAATTAAAAGTCTATGTCAAAATCAGGAGTCTTAGGTTTTCTGCGTTCACTTGCTACCATTTTATCAACCAGGAAAAATAAGCAAGTTTTTTCTCTTTAAAGACTTGTTAATCTGGAGTCCAGACAGACATTCTTGTTGCTCGATTTAAGTCCATTAGTTGGACTTATGTAATTGTCTGCTTAAAGCTCCATCTATGAATCATATATCAATTCTAGCTCATGAGTACTCTCTGCATGACTGATATAAAGCAAGCTCTGTTCATCTTCTAGTTTCTTAAGGTAGAAGCTTAGATTGAGATCTTTTTTCTTATATTGGTATTCATAGCTATAAAATTGTGATAAAAATATGATAAAATACATATAACGTAAACCTTAACACCTTAGCCATTGTTACCAGTTTGGCTCAGTGGCATTACGTGCATCCACTTCATTGTGCTGCTGTGAAAACTGTCCACCCGCAGATGCTTTCATCTTCCTGAACTAATGATGTCTCCACTCAACACTGACTTCCCATATCCACAGCCCCTGGCAGCCAATATTCTTTCTGTCTGGACGAATTTGACTATTCTGGGTATCTCATATAAATGGACTCATAATATTTGTCGTTTTGTGATGGGCTTATTTCACTTACCACAGTGTCCTCAGGATTCATCCACGTTGCAACATGTGTCAGAATTTCCTTGTTTATTTTTGAATGTAAAATTTTTAATTGTAGCAAAAAACTCCTAACAAATTTACCATGTTAAACATTTTTAAATGTACAGTTCATCAGTTACTGCTGAATTTAATTTTCTATGAAATAGATCTTTTGAACTTTCTCATCTTTCAAAGCTAAAACCTTATACTTATTTAATATGTCTCTGTTTGTCCTCTTTCCAGCCCCTGACGAGCACCTTTCTACTTCTGTTATCTTGAATACTTCATATAATTTTTTTTTATACATCTTTTGGTGACTTTCTTATTTCACGTAGAACACTATTCTCAAGATTAATTCAGGTTATAACATGTAAAAAGATTTCCTTTTTAAGGCTGGATAACATTCCACTGTATGTATGTACCACATTTTCTCTTTCTCTTTTTGTTGGTACTGGGATTTGAATTCAGATCTTTGCACTTGTTAGGCAGGTGCTCTAGCACTTGAGCCAATCCCCGAGTCCTTTCCACTTTAGTTATTTTTCAGATAAGGTCTAACATCTATGCCCAGGCCAGCCTGGACTGCGATCCTCTATTTAGGTTTCCCTTGTAGCTGGGATGATGGTGTTGTCCCCCACATCCAGCTTTTTATTGGTTGAGGTAGGGCCTAATGAACTTTTTACCTGAGTTGGCCTCCAGTGGAAATCCTCTTGATCTCTACCTCCTGAGTTGCTATGATTACAGGTGTGAGCCACTGTGCTGGGTTCACATTTTCTTTATTCATCTGTTGGTGGACATTTGGGTTACTTTCACTTCTTGACTGTTAAGGGTAATGATGCAGTAAACATGGGCATGCAGGTATCTCCTTGAGGTTCTGCTTTCAATTTTTTGGATATGTACCTAGAAATACAATTGCTGTATCAAATGCTCTATTTTAATTTTCTGAGGAACCTCTCTCTATACCTCAGTGGACCATTTTGCTTTCCGAGTAATACTGACCAAGGGTTCTAATTTTTCCACATTCTTGCTAATACTTGTTTGCTTTTCTTCTTTATAGTATCCATCCTAGTGGATGTGATGTGGTATCTCATTGCGGGTTTGATTTGCATATCCCTAATTAAGGTGCTTTCAGGTGCTTACTGTCCATTTGTAGATCATCTTTGGAGAAATGTCCACTGAAATCCTTTGTCCACTTTTTTTTTAATTGGGCTGATTTTTTGTTGTTGCTGCTATAGGAGTTCTTTATGTATTTTTGAGAATAGATCCTTATCAAATACATGATTTAAATATTTTTCCACTCTGTGGGTTGCTTTTTTACTTTGTTGATAGTATCCTTTGATGTACAGAAGTTTTAAATTTTGATGTTGTTCAGTTATCTGTTTTTACTTTTGCCACTCTGGTTTTGGTGTGTGTCTCAGAAGTGTCCAAGAAATTATTTCCAAATCCAGTGTCAAAAAGCTCTTTCCTTGTTTTCTTTCATGAATTTTGGAGTTTTAGCTCTGATGTTTTGGTCTGATCCATTTTAAGTTAATTTTTGTACATGGTGTAAAGAAGGTACAGTTTTATTTTTCTGCATGTGAATATCCAGCTTTTCCAGTATGATTTTTTGAAAAGACTATCCTTTCCCAACTGAGTGGTTTTGGCACGATATTTGGAAATTATTTGACAATATATGTGAGGGCTTATTTCTGGGCTCTCTATTTTATTCCATTGCCCTATATCTATATATCTATTTGTCATTATGTCAGTATACTAGTTTTCATCACTATAGCTTCATAGTAAGTTTTGAAGTCAGGAAATGTAGGACCTCCAACTTTGTTTTTCTTTTCTAAGTCTGTTTTGAAAGTTTGTGGACCCTTAAGAACGCATGTCAGCTTTAGGGTGGACACAGCTCATAAATTTTTATATGTTGGTTTTTGTTGTATTTCAGCTCAAAATATTTTCTGATTTTCTTCTTGTTTTTTTTCTTTTCTTTGACCCCTCTGTTTAGAGTCATGCTGTTCCATTTGAGACTATTTGTGGGTTTCTCACATTTCCTTTTGGTTTCTAATTTAATTCCATTGTAGTTGTAGAACATACTTTGCATGACATCAGTCTTTCAAATAAATTGCGATTTGTTTGATGACCTACCATTTGGAGTGGTTTAGAGAATGCTTCATGTATTTTTCAGAAAAATGTGCACCCTGCCATTTTTGGGTGAAATGATTTTATGTCTGTCTATTCTTTCTATTATTGAGAGTAGTGTATTGAAATCTCTATTAATATATAATTCATATACCATACAGTTCACCTACTTAAAGTAATAAAATAATTTTTCATATATTCACAGAATTTTACAACCATTACTACAATCAATTCTAGAATATTTCCATCACTCCAGAAAGAAACCTTACACCCATCAGGAGTCATACCCCATTTCCCAACATTATCCTCACCCCCATTTCCCAGGGAACCACCAATATCTTTATAGATTTGCCTTTTCAGGACATTTCATAGAATGGGATTGTATAATAGGTGGTCTTTTGGATTGGGTTCTTGCAATTAGCATAATGCTTTTAGGATTCATCTGTGTTGTAGCACATGCCATTACATTATTTCTTACCTGGCCTAATAATATTCTGTTGTGTAGATACATTATATCATTTATAAACTGATGGACATTTGGATTGATTACACTTTGGGGCTATCATGACTGTCACTGCTGTGAGCAGTATTGGTAGTGGGAATATGTTAATCCCTTCTGTTCTTAATAAGGAAAGGAGAAAAAAATTTATTTATGGAATTATTCTAGCTTCAACTTTTACCACTTCTGGTTCCCTGTATTTCTTCCAGTGTATATGAGTCATTGCTTGAAATCATTTCCTTGTTCCAGTATAGATCCATTCTCTCCTTTGCCCTTGTTCTATCATTGTCATATATGTTGCATATCTCTGTACACTATCAGTGCAGTCTTTTGGTTTGTTTTCCATGCTGGCAAGTAAAGCTTTTCTATAGGTAAATGTCAGAATTCTAATAAGTATTTTTAAAGAAACAGAATCTTGCTATTTTTCCCCAACTGGCCTGGAACTCTTAGACTCAATAACTTCTTGGCCTCCTAGTTAACTGTGACCACCGGTGTGCACATCATTTGAGATGAAAACAAATTTCTCCTCTAGTTACAATTACTGATACTGTTATCCTTATGAGTGCCCCTCATTTCTTATTTGGTGTCACTTCTCTTCAGCCAAAAGGACCTTCTCAAAAAGTGTACCTGCTCAATGAATTTTTGTCAGTTTTTGTTTATTTGGAAGTATCATTATCTTGTCTTCATTTTATTTTTGAGACTGGATCTAGCTGTAACTGAGGTTGGTCTTCAATTTGTGGGCTTGTGATCCTTCTGGTACTACAGATGTTGTCACCATGCCCAGTTTGTCTTCATTTTAGAACAGTAGTTTTGCAAGACAGACTTCTTTCAACACTTTGAACATGTTGTCCTTCTACATGGCCTCCATTGTTTCTAATGTGAATTCAGCTGTTAATTTCATTATATTGCCCCTGTACCTGATGAATTGTTTTTCTTTTGCTTGTTTTTAAGATTTTCTGTTTGTCTCTCAACACTTTGACTAAAATGTTTCTAGGTGTAGATTTCTTTGGATTTATCATGCTTAGAGTTTATTGAGTTTCTTGGGAATGTAGGTGAATGTTTTCATCAAACTTGAGAAGTTTTCAACCATTATTATTTCAAGTGTTTGTTGTTTTGTTTTTAGCCTCTTCTTTCTTTCCCTTCTGGGATCCTAGTTGGTTGCTGATATACATGATAACCCTACAGGTTTCTGAAGCTTGGTTTATTTTTCTTCATTCTTTCTTTCTGTTCTTTAGATCATTCTGTCTTCAAGTTTAGTGATTCTTTCTTCCACCATTTCAAATCCTCTCTTGAGTCCCTAATGTTAGTGAATTCTCCATTTCAATTCTTGGCGATTCTCAACTCCAGAATTTCCATTTGGTTCTTTTTTATAACTTATTTTTCTTGGCTGATAGTCTCTATTTGATGACTTTCTATCATACTTTCTTTTAATTCTTTGA